GACCCATCTATATTGTTAGGTTCTTATTGGTCTACGTTCCTTCATTGATGGTTCGACTTACTTCCCCGCGTTATACAGTAAAAAGTGAGATTTTACTTTCGGTGCCGCATGTATGTCAGTGGATCGAAGGAACCGATGAAAGTGCCAGGCTAGACTAAGATATAGGACAAGGTTTATTGCACGTTACAATAATGAAAGGAGAGAACGAGATGGGAAATCAATAGATCGCCAGTGTTAGTTGATGCGGGGACAAGACGTTGGATGAAGGCTTTCAATCGGTACGAAAAGTTGAACGTGAACGCGGACCCAGAAAGTCGGATCCTCGGACTTATATACTGTCCTTCCTGCAACCAATATCATGAATTATATTCTCCGACACCGGGATTTGAGAGTGAGCAGCATCGGAATCAGGGAAGGATTTGACAGCCGTAGATTTCATCTACGATGGGAAAAGCGGCGGCCGAACAGGTGGCTTGGGAATGGAGAATCGGATTCCTGCTTAACTATTTATTGCATAATTGAGATTATAGTGGCTATCTATAATTTAATTAACGATTATGTCGTTAACCAGAATTAGAATTCGCCCTCCGTGTAAGACGTAGGCGCAAAGAAATAGCCGAAATAATGGAACTTTGCCATAGTACTTACTCATTTGCCAGCTACTACTACTTCCGATTGTTGCTTGGAAGTTGTTGATTGTCCAAACCTTCCTTTTGGCAAGCACCAATTCCAATTTGCTGTCGGAGTTTTACCGCAAATCTGCACCTTTTTCTCCACATCAGCGTCCCTTCATATATTTCAGGCGAAGCAAATTAGCAGGGAAAATCTTTTGCAATGTATCAATGAGGATGACATTGAAATTCATCGCTATGAAAAGCTGCTTGGTTATAAAAAACGAAAAAGCAAAAATATGCCGCAAGTATTCCGCGCTGAAGGCCTCGACTGTTAGTCTTTTTTTACATATTTTCATATTTTTTGTCATATTTTTTTTTACATATTTTAGTGTTTACGTCTTCCTGAGTTATTTATAAAGCTTTCCAGTTTTTGCGGAGTTTGTGAATAAATTAGTGAATTGGGTGTTCTTATCAAGATAAAATTTGCATTCCATCTTCGTTTGAGGCTTTTGGCGTGGCTTAAATGAATAAGGCATGATAAAAAAAAAAGCATGTTCTGGGGTTAGAAGAAAGATAAGGTAGAGGTATAGGTTGAGGATGGCTGGAAACGTTCTGGAACTAGCTTTTGGCGAGCTGCTAGTTACTTCTTATTTCTAGGCTTGAAAGGCACGCTAAACTTTTTGACGTCCTGATAGGTCAACCTTACAATTCTGCTGACTGTAGTTTAACTCATACTTTATACTGGCAGATTTGAGCCGAGAAGGCTTATACTTAGGAGGAGACGCCAATATTTTTTTTTAACACCAGTGGAAGCATTTTGCCTAATCTGTAACGCTTCGTTGATCTGTTTTCTAACTCATATTTAAAGAATAGAGGAGCTGATCGATCTAAGCGGTGCATATTTGCAGATGTTCTCGAGATGTGTGATCCAAAAAAGGCTGCGCAAAAAGCCTACGGGAAGGAGGAAGAGGAGGAGAAGGAGGGAAGCGATCTTGAACCGGATAACGACGAGAGCGATGGTACCGAAATTCTTGATGAACGGGACTTCGAAACGGGAGATGAACACGAAGATGAACATAGTTATGGTCCAAAACCGAGCACCTCAAAAAAAGTCACTTTTGCACTTGTAAGTTATCGCAGAATTCATAAGATTACTTAGCTAACATGGATTAAGGGATGTAGTTATTCGTACATTCCTTCGAACTGATTGGTCGAATAATCAATGAACTGTGGATGATTCTTCGGGAGATAGCCTAAGATTCAGTTTTCACCTGCAAATTGTTGTAGACCTTGATTTTGAAAAAAAAAATGCGATTATTTTCGATTTTTTTTTTTGCCAGCTGCCATTTTTATTTCGCCTTACGATCCATCCCGTCTAAGAGGGCATATATGCATGCTGCGTGTTTGGGTAAAAAGAATACAGCACATAGTTGATGCACGAATTTTCAAGCTTGCGAAGTGGAAGGGGTGCGGGGGGGGGGGAGGGGAGACACAGCACTGGAAAAAGTTCATCACAGTATGAGCAAGGGCAAGGTATGTAAAAGGAGTCCATTTTTGTGCTACGAAAGTAGCTAGAAATTTCTTCATTTTGCTTTATCTGACACTAAGAAAGAGATCCGCTCCAACTGCTTGGGATAATTGCGTTTTATCGATTGGAAATAAGTTTCTGTGAGTTTTAATAGTATAAAGAAAGCCTCTCTAATCTTAGGAATTTGAAAATGAATTTAAAAATTTTGGAGAAAAGCCGACGCTCAGCTCTATCTACTTGGGATAAATATGTTCTTGTCAACCAGAAATAAGTTTCGGCA